GGTTTTAAACAAGAGTTTCATATTTTTAGGGTCCAAGATACGGACTGTGTCCAAGATACGGACTGTGTCCAAGGTACGGACTATTTCCAAGGTACGGGTAGTGCCTTATGTACAGACATTATCTTATGTACAGATGTCCTGTGGACGAGTGTCCCCAGTAAGAACGATTTTTTCTTACATCTAAGTGCCACAGCGTCCATGTAGCTTGAGTCCCATGCTGCTTCACTCCCATTTCTAAGCCTAGTCAGTAGCTACGGCTGTAGTGATTTATGGTGTCCTCAATCTGGCCCCTTTTGTTGTTTTGGCCAACAGGATCGCCGACAGACAGTACAGACATGCGAGACCACCTCACGCTGCTACTGTTTGAAGCAAGATTACATAAAGAACAGCTAAGTGTAGATTTACGTTCTAGTTTTTATGTTTTAGATTTTCTATATTTTCAGTCTTAAACAGTAACATTACATTTTTAAATAATATCGTACGGACTATATTTAGTGGTTAGATTATTAAGAACATTTATGTCGATTCAGTAGTTACAATGTGATTTAGATTTTAGGTTTCATTATATTACGCCTTGTAATAGTATTACTTTCTATAGATATTATTATTGCACTATATTAACAGATGAATAACGAGACATAGATTCTAGAATCTACAGGTTGCAACATATCAGATTTAACACCGCATAAAATTTAACAATTTAAATAAAGTAATGCTACTTTTCTTATATTTTCTATAACGTTACACGCATTGTATTTTTTCATAGTCTTTTCATAGAATATATTTAATATTATTTACATACATAGTTTTATTCAACAAATAACCACTATAATAATTATTAAAATTGTACAATGCTATTTACCATCAGAATTCATCATGAATAAATATAGTCATTAGTTTTAAGTAATATACAACTGTGTTTTCTTTCTCTGTACATGCCTGGCGCCCAATATCTATTTTTTTGTTTATTGTTCTTAATTAGTTTTCTTTCCAGTGAAATACCTTATCCACGACTGCTCTCCGATGAAAAGCTGCCGTTCGCAGTGGTAGTTGTTTAAAAAACGCTACAAAGTACCGTATGATCGAATAAAAACGGCGTCCAGTTGGCTTGGAACTGACGATCGATGGCATTTCCTATATAAATTTACATATAAAATGACAGCGATCTTCATTTCATAGCCATCGCTGACGCCGTTTTTATTCGATCATACGGTACTTTTTTATTTACAAACATTTATTTAATTCTGTTTTTAGTATTTGTTCTTATAGCGGCAACATAGGTACAATATTATCTGTGAAAATTTCAACTGTCTATATAGCTATAACGGTTCATAAGATAGACCTTTGTGACAGACGGACGGACGGATAGCAAAGTCTTAGTAATAGGGTTCCCGTTTTTACCCTTTGGGTATGGAACCCTAAAAATGAATTACCAGTTCCAGATCTGTTTTTAAAAAATCTACATATTGATGATCGTTGGAAATTTAATAATATCAACTTACAGGGCAGGAAAATAAATTTGGTGATACCAAAAATTTTTTCTAAAACTCAAAATGTATACGATCAGTCTCTTTTGGATTCAGATATCAGTCCAAGAGCACTAATTTGAACTACCCTGAACTATGAAACATTTTAAGACGCTTTAAAAAATAGAACCCCGTAAAATTTAGTCCAAACTATCCCAAACTCAATTACACAAAGATATTACCTTTTGTTATAAGAAGAAGCGACCAAGCTAGCAACAAAGCCTGGCAATTTCCTATAGTCCGTCATCTTTTTATGACCTACTATAAATAGATTATTACTTTTAATTAAGTTCAGGAATAATAAAAACGGTGACTGGGAAAGTATCAAAAACTCGTTTGAGTTAGGTTTTTAAAGTTTATTTTCGGATATGAATAGAAGACGATGGCCCTTTTTAAGCTACTAATAGTAAGAAAATAATGAATTTAGTGTTATAAAAATATATATCCACGAAAAATTTGCTATAAATAGCAATTCTTTTGTTTTTACGATTTTTAGAAATTACTTTTTGTTTAATACAGTAGAAAATTGCGAATATAAAGGATTTACTGTGTTTCTGGTTTGATTGCCATATACCGGGTATGTCTCAAAAGTAGCTCACCCCTATAACTTTTTTTATTTTTTTAGATAAAATAACGAGACTTGGTACGTTAGTATTATGACATAAATCAGGATTGACTAACGTATTCAATTGTTTTTGGTCACTTCCTGTTTTACCGGAGAACTTTTGATTTTTAAATGGCACCCTCGGTATTTTTTCGATAAAAAGTGACATTCTGAATAGAATGACATATCATATGTCAACTTTTGACATTCTCGCTTAATAAAAAATTGTATTTTAAATCAAGGAGCCTTGGAAAAATAGATTGGATCGTCTAATGTTTTTAGTGTCTTGTCGTGGCCAGTTAGAAAATGCTCAAATCGTATTTTCAATAATATCTCATTTTTTTCAAATGGAACGAGGGTGGTTCATTAGCATATTTGGAAAAGGCATTTTTTACTAATAATTTGATACCACACACTTGATATTTCGAGTCAAATTTTCGTTACGAACCGCAAGTTATAATTTCAAATAAACCATATGCGAAAATGTCAAAAGTTGACATATGATATGTCATTCTATTCAGAGTGTTATTTTCTACCGCATAAAGTAAAAAAATACCGAGGGTGCCATTTAAAAATCAAAAGTTGTACTCATTTTCGATGAAACAGGAAGTGACCGAAACAATTGAATACGTCAATCAATCCTAATTTATATCGTATACTAACATACCAAATCTCGTTTTTTTAAATGAAAAAATAAAAATGTTATAGGGGTGACCCACTTTTATTACAGTTCAGGACAGCATAGTTAGATTCTTTGGAATAGTAATCGGGGTTTTCCCTGCCGTGCTCTTTTACTCGTGAATTCCATGCAGAGTACGGCACTCCTTTCATTTCATTTAATAAAATAAGTAGGGCTATTTACAAATTTAGCGTTTATTTAGCCCAAAATATTGCTTCTGTCGAAGCGCATCCGAGGTAATGACAAAAATAATATTTAACACAACGTAGGTCCCTTTCTTTCATTTAAATTTTTTGTTATACAGTTGACCAAATTATTACTTCTTCAACTTTGTTGACGAACTTGGGTTGTTACACTACAGACTACAGTAAGGAATAGAGAAGAAACCTCGCCTCTATCCTCTTAAAATTTAAAAACTACCAAGTCGACGTCTATGACCTTTATTACAGAAATAAAGCAAAAGAAATCGAGTTGTGTCCGAACGGTTTGTGGAATATTCCCTCGGTATGCAGGTCATTATTTAACTTAAGGAAGAATCACAGACCAATAAAATCGGACTTTGCCTCGGGACTTTTCCGGATTTTTTCGTGATAAATCACGGAAATCTTTATACTTATGGCGGCGCTTTCTTTCTTGTCACATTAGAACGGGCAATGATTCATATTTACCGAAGAAAGGGGTGAAATGAAGTAAGGGGAGTTTTTGCTAGTTCACCGCGCCACCGGAAATAGAACTATGATAGATAATGGCTTTTATGTGGGGATAGTTTTAAAAGTTACCTTAAAAGGGGATTTCTAGAGGTTTTTCATGTATGTTTCATTATTTTGAAACAAGATTAGATCAGAGTTCAACAAAAAAATATCTTTTTCAAAAAAAAAGACTAATAGCAACTGTGTCTACATATTACGTTTAACTTACGCCTTACCAGTTCAGTCAAAACGTATCAAGTATAGTCCTTCCAACGACAAAATCCTTGAAAGAAATAGATGTGTCTCTCATTTTAATTTCAAATTATTTTATTTTATTTTACAAAGAAATAAGTTGTACAGGGTGGCTCGAATTCGACGCTAATCATTGGGATTTCGGAAACCGTACGAGATACAGGATCGGTTAATGGAGGCAAAGTTGCGCAATTTGATGCTCAATAAAATGCCGTAAAAAAACGGAATTTTCACTTTTGTTTTCTATTGTTTCCTGGCTTTATTTGTTAAGATAACTTAAAATGAAAAACACATTTTCATGGCCACTCTTTCTGCTCTATAACTCTGTGTGATTAAATATTGACTCTGACGTTTCGGCTTCTGGCGCCCATCATCAACTTAATTTTTTTAAATACGGACCTGATTTTTTTTCAATTTAATTAAGTCCTTTCATCGCTCTTAAAACACTATATATAGTCACTTAGATATTTGCCGACGTTTCGTACAGTAAATTCCATCACCAAAATATTTTATGTAAAAAAATAAAAAATAACAGCATTTTATTGAGCATCAAATTGCGCAACTTTGCCTCCATTTAACCGATCCTGTATCTCTTACGGTTTCCGAAATCCTAATGATGAGCATCGAATTCGAGCCACCCTGTACAGGGTGGTCGAAATCGGTCTGTTTTAACAGAGAAAACCTATTTCCTAATTAGATAGAGCAAAACCGACATAGATGTCATGGACTCGATTTCAGAGACATGTTTAATGGCGTAAACCGCTTGTTGATATTTTCACTGCCACTATTTGATTTTTTTACCATTTGGGAAATTGCCCATAACTTTTGCATTTCGCGGAATAATAAAATTCTGTGAAAACGTTCTTAAGGCACTTTTTCAAGCACAATTCAGTGGCGTAGTCAGTTTTTTTCTATACTTGCTCTTTTTGTCAGAAATGACAAAAAATATAATTTTTTAAATGGAAATCATAGTTGGCTATGAACTTAAAAAAATGCTGGCGTTTAACCCGTTCCAACGATACAAAGTTATGTGTATTTATTTCTAAGAATGAGAGAAATATTAGGTTTTTTATCTTTGTATCAAAGCGAGCCTTGATTTTGTGTTGACCTAGTTGCCTAATTATTTTTTGTCGCAATTTAATATTCTATATTTTTATGTATCTACATAGTTAGCAAGACTTTTTAAAAAGGTAAATCAACATTCTATATTAGTATAACCAATTATAATTAAAACGCCAGGGTTATAACTGAACTATTAAGGCGGCATCCCACGGCGCGTGTATCGGCAAGCCACGAGCAAGACTCGCCGATACACGAGTCGTGGGACCGGGCAGCTATGGGGCAGCTCGTCATTTTTGGCGCGGCTTGGACATACCCGCTTTCTGTCGGTAAACTTGACGATACTCAAAGGAAGGCGAGCCTCTTCGAGCTCGGCTCGTGTTGTGTTCAACCCGATCCAACGATCCTCGAAACGAGTACGGAGGTGCGGTTCAGTATCAGTGTCGTCTTGACTTAAAGATACATAGACAATAAATAAGTCAATCGCTATAATATCAATATAAAGTGATTTAGTATAATCTACATCCATATTATCTTTATTTTCAATAAAACCGTTTAACTTTTAAAAACATACCAACCAAATAGGTAATTTGTAAAACTACAAGTTAATAAGAACTGTTTAAATTTTTCATACGTAAAATTCTAAAAATTCTTCACTTTTTTATATACAGAAGAATGACAGATACAAAAAAATAAATAGGACTAGTTTTCACCCCCTCCCCAGTATGCTATATCAAATTGTATTGAATTTAAAGGGGCAACCTATAAAAGTACTTACATATTGCGGCTTTAATACAAAGACACTCTCCACCAACACTTTTTTTGCCGTTCTTGTTGGTTCAAAAATTACCCAACATGATGTAATAAGCGGCTGCAACACAAGCTGCATTTTGTGTTCGTCGATTTTTTCGTTCATGTTGCAACACCACTGGCACGACTAAAAACTAAATTTGCCAAACCAACACGAGCCTTCTTCACGACCTTTCACGCATCGTGGGATCGCATCCACTTGCCAAGCCCAGATTAACGAGCCAAGCCTAGGCGAGCCTAGACGAACTCAAGCTATGAGCCAGGATCGCCGATACACACGCCGTGGGATGCCGCCTTTAAATGGAGAATTTAGAGAGAATTGGATTAGAAAAAGGGGCCCCATATCTTGGCCTGCTAGGTCCTGTGATTTAACCCTTTCGACTTTTTTATGGTGGAAATTAAAAGACCTTATATAAATATAAGGGAAGAATCATTGGGACGAGAGAAGAATTGCAGAAGGTTATTAGACGAGCTTTTGGACTTATTATACCAGTTCGCAGTTCGCCTAAAGGCGGCATCCCACGGCGCGTGTATCGGCAAGCCACGAGCAAGACTCGCCGATACACGAGTCGTGGGACCGGGCAGCTATGGGGCAGCTCGTCATTTTTGGCGCGGCTTGGACATACCCGCTTTCTGTCGGTAAACTTGACGATACTCAAAGGAAGGCGAGCCTCTTCGAGCTCGGCTCGTGTTGTGTTCAACCCGATCCAACGATCCTCGAAACGAGTACGGAGGTGCGGTTCAGTATCAGTGTCGTCTTGACTTAAAGATACATAGACAATAAATAAGTCAATCGCTATAATATCAATATAAAGTGATTTAGTATAATCTACATCCATATTATCTTTATTTTCAATAAAACCGTTTAACTTTTAAAACATACCAACCAAATAGGTAATTTGTAAAACTACAAGTTAATAAGAACTGTTTAAATTTTCATACGTAAAATTCTAAAAATTCTTCACTTTTTTTTATATACAGAAGAATGACAGATACAAAAAATAAATAGGACTAGTTTTCACCCCTCCCCAGTATGCTATATCAAATTGTATTGAATTTAAAGGGGCAACCTATAAAAGTACTTTACATATTGCGGCTTTAATACAAAGACACTCTCCACCAACACTTTTTTTGCCGTTCTTGTTTGTCGCAATTTAATATTCTATATTTTTATGTATCTACATAGTTAGCAAGACTTTCAAAAAATTACCCAACATTCTATAATAAGCGGCTGCAATTATAAGCTAAAACGTCGATTTATAACTGAACTATTAAATGGAGAATTTAGAGGCACGATTAAAAAAGGGGCCTGCTTGCCAAACCAACATTTAACCTTCTTCACGACCTTTTACGCATCGTGGAAATCCACTTGCCAGACCTTATATAAATATAAGGGAAGAATCAGGGCGACCTAGACGAATTGCAGAAGGTTATTAGAGCGAGGATCGCCGACTATTATACCAGTTCGCAGCCGCCTTAATAAATCGCTGTAACTCTGTGCGCAAAAGATGTTTGTTGTGAACATCTTTGATGATTTTTTTTAGAAAACTATATTCGTTATTCAAAACATACGTTTTTTAGTTTTGTTCATTGTTTATTGTACAGATTTCAATTGTAATTACTAATGCTAATATAAAATGTTAATTTACCTCTTCAAAAGTCTTTAATTATTCAGAATATAGAATATAAATTGTGATAAAAAGAACTAGGCAAATAGGTCAACACACAATCAAGGCCCGCTTCGATATAAAGAAAAAAACCTAATATTTCTGTCATTCTTAGAAATAGATACCCATAACTTTATATCGTTGGAAAGGGTTAAACGCTACCATTTTTTTAAGTTCATAGCCAACTATGATTTCCATTTAAAAAATTATATTTTTTATTATTTCTGACAAAAAGAGCAAACATAGAAAAAACTAACTACGCCACTGGATTTTGCTTAAAAAAGTGCCTTAAGGACGTTTTTACAGAATTCAATTATTCTGCGAAATAAAAAAGTTATGGACAATTTTCAAAATGGTAAAAAATTCAAAAAGACCCCGTATCTGAGTTGACAGTGAAAATATCAAGAGGTTTACGCCATTAAACATGTCTCAGAAATCGAGCCCTTCACATCTATGTCGGTTTTGCTCTATCTAGTCAGGAAATAGGGTTTCTCTGTTAAAACAGACCAATTTCGACCACCCTGTACAATTGGAACACATAGCATTAGATTAATATATTTAAAACTTGAATGTCAAATGATTGCTTCAAAGTATTGTAAAAAAAGTATAAAACTGAAAAAATCATATCGAGTCATTTTTTTTTAAATTACGCTCTGTGTCAATGCAAAACAAATAAGGGTGTATTTTAAACAAAACACCCCGAACAAAAAAAAAATTTAAAGGAACTATTTCTTATTTTCAAACTTCAAGAAACTTCCTGCAATTATTATTATATTTATCAATATAACTTATGTACAAATATTTTTTTAATTTTGCACAGGATCAAATAAACAAAAAATTTTATTAATAATAACACTTACTAAATTTTATACCTTAAACTTGATTAATTAACTTTAATTTTAATTTTTTTAAACCAGTACCTTTGGACATTATCTCTCTGCAGCACTAAAATCTATTATTTACCTTGTTTGATGTCGTTATTTTACAGCTAGATACTCCAATTTTAGTACCATATATGAGATGGTATAAAACTTTATTGGTGGCTATTGGTGGGGCTCTGGGTACCGAATATTAACTATAAACTATGCTCTGGGTCTACAGTTAATTTTCCCTCGATTTTTTCTTCACTTAACTTCTGTTTCACAAAGAAAAACACCCAACTAATATCACAAACCAAAAGGAAAAAGCAATTCGCCAGCATTTAACATAATTTGACACAAATTATAACCTATAATTTGGCAAGAGTTTGACAAGCCTCAAACATCGTTCCATCATTCTAATAAAATTGAAATATGATCTGTCATTTTCGAAATAAACCAATCAAAAATGTTCTCTGAAAAGTTTATAGAACTGAACCACAATAGACCCTCGTGACCGCAGTAGAGGCTTCCACCTGTGACCCACTCTTAGTAAATACAATACAATAGTTCACCTAGAATGTCTTATGGTATTATACAGGGTGTCCCAGAAATAAGTGCAAGCATTTTAAGGGGTGATACATCTCGATAAAAGAAACATATTTCCTCTTTATCGTTTTTCAAATAAGTTCAAAATAACTTAATAATAAATAAAATAAAATTATTTTACTTTGAAAGTTTCCAAAAAAATGTTTTTTGCTGAGAACCCTGAGAGTGGGTTTTCTTTCTTGTAAATTTAATCTAATACCTATGTTGCCATATTATCAAGAAATTATGTTTTTTAATTAAAAACTAAAAAAATTTCCAAAAAAATTTCGAATTTTCAATTTTTTTTCGCGAATAAAGCCTCATAGGCGTGTTTTTGGGGTTGAACTATACTACCAGTTAAAATACTTTGCATTTATTTCTGGGACACCCTGTATAAAGACTAGACAGAAGCAATTTTCCATAACTAATAAAATTAACGTATGTTTGTCATGTAAACAAATTATTATTTGTACTGTTCCTCGCATATCAGGAAAATTTAGCTCAATAAATCAACATAAATTTTTAAGAAATTTGTATGTATGTATCCGTCGCACATGCTACGAAAATCCTTGATATTTGAAAAAGTTACCGGTGGAATGTTCTAAGAAAATGAGACAAGCTTTAACAAAGATAATGAAAACGTCGAGAATTGCAATTTATTATTATTAAAAAGATCCGTCTTTGTTGGTATCTTTCGTAATTTTATTTACATTGAATAAAAGTCGGAGTTTCATACACTTTATGTTTGTATTTCGTTGCCACATATGGAATTTTATATCTCCTTATAACAGTACAGGATACAAAATATATACGCATGGTGAAGAAATTTAATTCTTTATTTTTAGTTTATAAAAGAAATATTTTAACAACAAAAAAACTTATTTTAAAAAGAATCACCTCTTTCAAAACTTGTTTCATTTTTTTTAAAATACTCCCCTTTTAAGTTTATTAACTAATTGTTTTATTTAACTTTCATTTCTTTTCTGTGGCTAATATCAAGAATAGTCAGCATTTTCTTCATTTTTTTGTGACATTTTTCCGGAGTCGATCAATTTCTTATGCCACCGCATAAATATATACCCGGGACTAACATTATTACATTCCCCGAATTTCGCTGCTATTTCTACCTGAAGCCACCAAGACCGATCAATCATCTGTGTTTTCCGACGCCATATTGTATGATTCGACCGTTTTGCCCCACCGTCCCTCACTAAGCTGCTCTAACAACCCCTATAACAAATAAAAATTGAAGGGACTTTTGCTGCATTTTTGCTTATTGTTTGATCTGGTAGAGTATTCGAATACTCTGTGGAATTTGGGGTAAATTCTCCTATTAGGCAAATCTTTATAGCGGGGTTGTTATGTTTTTAAACATTTTGGTTTAATATACAAGGTGGTCCGAACTGTATTCTGGAAACTTCGGTAGCATATTCTGCACATAAAAATAAGTAAAAAAGTTCGTATAAATTATGTCCTAAAATGCTTAGTTTCGGAGATAGAGGATGAATAAGTTTCATTTTTATTTCGATTTTTTCCAAATATTTTCTGAAGTAACGTCAATATTTCGATGAAAATTGGTGTCTGAGAATTACATGAGAATTATTACATGAGAGTTTTGATGTCAATATGACTCCTACTAGCAGAAGGCGCCACCTACATATTTTTTAACTGGTTTGAAGAGTAATAATTTTTCGTCCGTACCTGTATAAAACTACCGATTAAAAAATATACATTTACGACATTTTTTACGTGAAAAAGGTCTATCGGTAAAAATCGCTATGAGTAATGGTTTTTGAGATATTTGGAATCGAAATTATCAAGACCTATCATCATTGACATAAAATAAACATGTTGACTAACAGTTATTAGACTGAAATCATAAATTTGAAATGTTTT